GGGAGGTAGCCAACCAAAACACCCCCACTGAGTGTTAGTAAGGGGGCAACAGTCCCCTTACATAGGGACAAAATTAGAAAGGCAAAGGCACAAAACGAGAGTAAACTAGCTAGAGACATAAAGGGTAACAAGAAAATTCTACAAATACATTAGAAGCAAGAGGAAGACCCAGGACAGGGTAGGCCCTTTACTCAATAGGGGGAGGGAGGAACAATAACAAGAAATGTGGAAACGGCAGAAGTAGCACCGGTCAGTATAATAATGCCTGCATCTGTAATTTTCACTCCATGCATCTGAAGAAGTGGGGTTTTTACCCATGAAAGTTTATGCCCAAATAAATTTGTTAGTCTTTAAGGTGCCACCGGACTCCTTTTTGTTTTTGTGGCTACAGACTAAAATGGCTACCCCTCTGACACCGGAAAAATAATGGAGCAAATAACTAAGCAATCGATTTGCAAGCATTTGAGAAGATAATAAGGTGATAAGTAACAGCATGGATTTGTCAAGAACAAATCATGTCAAACCAACCTAATAGCTTTCTTTGACAGGGTAACAAGCCTTGTGGATAGTGAGGAAGGAGTAGATGTGATATATCTTGACTTTAGTAAGGCTTTTGATTCTGTTTCATATGACCGTTTCATAAACAAACTAGGGAAATGCAACCTAGATGGCGCTACTATAAGGTGGGTGCAAAACTAGTTAGAAAACCATTCCTAGAGAGTAGTTATCAGTAGAAGAGCATATCAAGTGTGCTCCTGCAGGGATCAGTTCTGGGCCCAGTTCTGTTCAATATCTTCACCAGTGATTTAGATAATGGCGCAGAGAGTACACTTATATAGTTTGCGGATGATACCAAGCTGGGAGGGGTTGCAAGTGCTTTGGAGGATAGGATTAAAATTCAAAATGATCTGGACAAACTGGAGAAATGATCTGAAGTAAATAGGATGAAATTCAATAAAGACAAATGCAAAAGGAACAATCAGTTGCACACATACAAAATAGGAAATAACTCCCTAGGAAGGAGTACTGTGGAAAGGAATCTGTGGGTCATAGTGGACCACAAGCTAAATATGAGTCAACAGTGCAACAGTGCTGCAAAAAAAGCAAACATCATTCTGGGATGTATTAGCAGGAATGTCGTAAGCAAGACGTGAGAAGTAATTTTTCCGCTCTACTCCATGCTGATATGGCCTCAACTGGAGTATTGTGTCCAGTTCTGGGTGCCACATATCAGCAAAGATGTGGAAAAATTGGAGAAAGTCCAGTGGACAAATTGGAGAATGTCCAGAGAAGATCAACAAAAATTATTAAAGTCCTTCCCTATGAGGAAAGGTTGAAAGAATTGGGTTTGTTTAGTCTGGAGAAGAGAAGACTGAGAGGGGACATAACAGTTTTCAAGTACATAAGAGATTGTTACCAGAAGGAGGGAGAAAAATTGTTCTCCTTAACCTCTGGGGCTAGGACAAGAAGCAATGGGCTCAAATTACAGCAAGGGCAGTTTAGCTTGGACATTAGGAAAAACTTCCTAACTGTCAGGGTAGTTAAACACAGGAATAAATTGCCTAGGGACTTTGTGGAATCTCTGTCACTGGAGATTTTTAAGAGCAGGTTAGACAAACACCTGTCAAGATAATATATAGATAATATTTCATCCTGCCATGAGTGCAGGGGACTGGACTAGATGACCTGTCAAAGTTCCTTCCAGTTCTATGATTCTATGGTCCTTGCTCAAAGAGTTTACAATCCAAATAGACAAGCCAGACAAAGGAAGTACTATTAACCCTTTTTTTTTAATGAATAGGGAACTGAGACACAGAGATTAAATAATTTGCCCAAGGTCAAACAGGAAGTCTGTGATAGAGCCGAGGAAATTGAACTCAGACCTCCTGAATCTCAGTTCATTGACTTTACAAAAAGACATCCCTCCTCCCCAGATCCAGGTGAAGGTCAGTAACATGTCAGCAGAGTACTTCTTGACATAAGCAGTTCCTCCATTTTTTGATTACATCAATTTATTTTTCAATTTTTCATTACTTCTATTGTCAGAAATGCAAAAAAATAGAAAAATCTAGTGAACAAGAAGATTGGGGGGGTTAAACCTCTGAAGTCAATAGGATTTTTGATGGTACAAGGACTGCAGAACTGGTCACCTTGTGAACCAAAAGCAGATATAATCCTATCTATCTTGCAGGTGGGGGGGAACTGAGATACTTTTTTTTTAATATATATGGAGATATACCCATCTCCTATAACTGGAAGGGACCTTGAAAGGTCATCGAGTCCAGCCCCCTGCCTTCACTAGCAGGACCAAGTACTGATTTTTTGCCCCAGATCCCTAAGTGGCCCCCTCAAGGATTGAGCTCACAACACTGGGTTTAGCAGGCCAATGCTCAAACCACTGAGCTATCTATGCCACAGCCTGCATTTGTGAGAAGATCTCCATAAGCAGAAGCTCTGAAGGCATCAACCAGTTTCTCTGAGGAAACTGCATGAGACTATCCCAGAATAGGGGCTGCAGTACCCTTTGGGAGGCTGCTTTGTGCACATCTCAGACTATTCATTTTTGGTGGCTAGTTTGAAAAGATGAAGGCAGAACCATGATCCTGGCTTTCATTACCCTTCTTTGCTAGCATAGGGCCATTGTGCTGGTGGTGGTGCTAGACTCTCCTATTTGTTGTATCCAGATCAAGTCTGGCACAATTCAGGAAGTTGAAGGACTGGAACAGGATCAGAAGAAGGGTGATGGTCTCCTTGTATGGCCTCCCTATCTCTTGCTCCCCGCACAGGGCTAACAACAATCT